TGTCAACTCTGAGTGAAATTTTTATGAAAATTATAACTTGTGTTTTGTTCATATAATATTTATAGAAATGTTTGTATGTTTATTCTTGTCATATATCTAAAATAAATTACTTTATTTTGAGAAATCTGACAAGTTCTTTTCAGATTCATGACCGGAGGGGTATTTCATCATATCTGATTTCATATCTTGCAAGATCTTGTGGAACATGACTTTATGGGGTTAAGCTGGTATTAATCTCATAGAGGAGAGGGTTCTTTACAGTTGAAATGACCCGTCATGGCCTAAAATAAGAGTCCAGCGTTCCTGCCAGTTCTCAGGCCTGTGCGAGACCTGCTTTGAGGCTGGAACTCCTGTTTCTTCACTCGAGGTGACCCCTACATGTCGTATTCCAAAACAAAAGCAGCTCTCTTCAGCAGGAAGTTTATACAAGTAACTCCTTTCCTCTGTCAATCAATCCCAGAGTTAATCCACAGGCAGCGTTCTGCTGACGTCAAAATCGTAAGCGTGCTGAACTCACTTCTACCCTCTTAGAACCACCAGAGAGGAGGTTCTGAAACAGCGTGCCTGTGCGTGGTTCAGCGTACTTGGAACCTTATGGAGAGGCATTCGATTGGTTAAGGGAGTCGTCCTGAAACTGGAAGGTTGCCGGTTTGATCCCCCATCTAGCTGTCTGTCAATGTGTCCTTGGCCAAGACACTTCACCTCCCTTGCCTACTGATGGTGGTCAGAGTGGCGCCGGTGCATGGCAGCCCCACCTCTGTTAGTGTGCCCCAGGGTAGCTGTGGCTACAATGTAGCTTACTGCCACCAGTCTGTGAATGTCTGAAGCGCCTTGGGGTCCAAGTGGACTTGATAAGGCGCTATATAAATTCAAGCCATTTACCATTTAAATAATTATGTAAAATGACTACATGATATAAGGGAAATATGTAATTTACAAGTTAGGATGATCTAAACCTGACCTTGAAGTCAGTAACTTAGACTTTTTATCTAGTTGAAAAATGGTGACTTCAACAAGTACATTTATAAATATACAAGTATATTTATTATTTCTTACCTGTAATAAATAATATTATTCACCTTATAGTGGTGGAGGAGTTTGTGTATCTTTATGATCCTAGGAGCCATGCTGGTAGGGTCTCCCATGGCAGATAGGTCCTAGGTGACAGGCCAGACAAAGAATGATCCAACTGACTCATATGGACACAAACTGTCAAGTAACTCAGTGTCCCTTGCCCAGACGTGGGTTACCGGGGCCCCACCCTGGAGCCAGGCCTGGGGGAGGGCGTGGTCTCAACCCATGGGACCAGGCTGGGCTCAGCCCAAATGAGCTACATGGGTTTTCCTTCCTGTGGACCCACAACCTGCAGGATGGGCCGTAGGAGTCAGTTACATGATGATATGGACAGTAGCCAAAGGTGGGGACCTTGGCGCTCTGACCCTGGCCTATCAAAACTGGCTCTTGGGACATGGAATGTCACCTCTCTAGTGGAGAATGAGCCTGAGCTTGTGTGTGAGGTTGAGAGGTACCAGCTATATATAGTTGGGCTCACCTCAAAAGACAGCATGGGCTCCGGAACCAATCTCCTCGAGAGAGGCCAGATTTTATTCTGCTCTGGAGTTGCTCATGGTGAGAGACGCCGAGCTGGTGTGGGTCTACTTTTGGCCCCCACGACTTGGTGCCTGAGTGTTGGCGTTTACCCCGATAGATAAGAGGGTAGCTTCCCTGCACCTTTGGGTGGGGGGACAGGCTCTGATGATTATTTGTGCTTATGCACCAAATGATTGTTCAGAGTACCCAGCATTCTTGGAGTCCACAGCTGGGGTGCTGGAAGGTGCTCCAGCTGGGGATTCCTTCATACTGTTGGGGGACATCAATGCCCACGTGGATAATGGCTGTGATCTGGAGTGTGATTAGGAGCAACGGCCTCTCCGATCTGAACCCGAGCGGTGTTCTGTTGTTAGACTTCTGTGCTAGTCACAGTTTGTCCATCACAAACACCATGTTCGAACATAAGGGTGTCCATAACTGTACATGGCAACCTAGGATGCAGATCGATGATTGACTTTGTAATCGTGTCATCTGATCTACAGCCGCATGTTTTGGACACTCTGGTGAAGAGAGGAGCTGAGCTTTCAACTGATAACCACCTGGAAGTGAGTTGGATCAGATGGTGGGGGAAGATGCCGGACAGATCCGGTAGACCCAAGCATGTAGTGAAGGTTTGTTGGGAATGCCTGGCAGAGGAACCCGTCAGACAGATCTTCAAATCACAACTCCGGAAGAACTTCAACTACATCCCAGCCGAGGCGAGGGACATCGAGTCCGAGTGGGCCACTTTCCACACCTCAATTGTTGAAGCGGCTGCCTTGAGCTGTGGCTGCAAGGTTGTCAGTTGTCGCAGTGGCCATCCTCAAACTCGGTGGTGGACACCCCGAGTAAGGGACGCTGTTGAGCTGAAGGAGACTTATTTGGCCTTGTTGGCTGGTAGGACTCCGGAGGCAGCTGAGGAGTATTGGCAGGCCAAGCGGGCTGCAGCCCTGGCTGTTGCTGAGGCAAAAGCTTGGATGTGGGAGGAGTTTGGTGAGGCCTTGGACAAAGACTCTTGATAAGCTCCAAGGAGATTCTGGTAAACCATCCAGCGGCTGAGGTGGGGAAAGCAGCACTTCACTAACACTGTGCTCAGTGAAGGTGGGGTGCTGTTGACCTCAACCAGTGATGTCGTTGGGAGGTGGAAGGAATATTCTCGGAACTTCTCAATCTCTCCGGCACGTCTTTTATGGAGAAAGCAGTCTGAGGACTATGGGGCTGGTCTGTCCATAACTGGAGCTGAGGTCGCTGAGGTAGTTATAAAGCTGCAGGGCTCCAGGGGTGGATGGGATCCACCCTGATTTCCTCAAGGCTCTGGATGTTGTGGGGCTGTCCTGGTTGACACGCCTTTGCAACATCGCATGGACATCGGGGGCAGTGCCTCTGGATTGGCAGACTGGGGTGGTGGTTCCTATAATTAAAAAGGGGGACATAAGGGTGTGCTCCAATTATCTACCCTACCTGGTAAGGTCTTTTCAGGGGTATTGGAGAAGAGAGTCTGATCGATAGTTGAAACTCAGATTCTGGAGGAACAATGTGGATTTCATCCTGGCCGTGGAACACTGGACCAACTCTTTACCCTCACTAAAGTCCTCGAGGGATCATGGGAGTTTGCTAATCCAGTCTACATGTGTTTTGTGGACTTGGATAAGGCATTTGACCGTGTTCCTTGAGGTACACTGTGGGGGGTGCTACATGAGTATGGGATTGTGGGTCCATCGTTACGGGCCATTCAGTCTCTATACAAGTGGTGCGAGTCTGGTTCAAGTTGCTGGTAGTAAGTCGGACCCCAGGGCTGCCCGTTGTCACTGATTCTGTTCATAACTTACATGGACAGAATTTCTCGATGCAGCCAGGGGGTGGAGGGAGTCCTGTTCGGTGGCTTCGGGATTTCATCTCTGCTGTTTGCAGATGATGTGGTTCTGTTGGTGTCATCGCGCCAGGATCTTCAGCTCACAATAGAGCGGTTCCCACATTTAAAAGGAATGGATTCAGCCTTACTTGAGGATATAACATAACATGCAGTATGTATTTATACACAGAGTGGATTTTATGATCCACGATGACGACTGGCTCATCAGGTGTTTTCAGCTTCTAAGAGTCTTTTTGGATCTTCTCGGAGCTGTGCTGCTCTGGGAGTGTGACAGCAGGAGCCGTCTATGTTCTACCAAACATCTGAGTTCCTGTGTTTACAGTAATTACGTTATTAAACACGTGCACAAGGTTAATATTTCCAGAATTAACAGCAGCTTCACGTGACCACACACAGAATCACTCATTCTTTGCGTGACAAACATATTTTACTCACTAAGAAATTTATCTCACTCACACATATTTGATTCATTATTTTTTTAAATCTAGAAATCATATCTGATCGCGCAGGGATCACACAAATATGTCCATTACACATGCAGGAAATAATTAACATCTGTTTAACATCTGTAAATGAAGGCGTGTCAGGGGAGGTGTCTCACGTTTGATACATCTGGATTTTTTTGTGCGAATGCCGTTTTCTGGATTTGACCGTACGTCAGGTTTCAGTAAGAAATCTACAACAGTGTTTGTATGAGGCCCCTGGTGTTTTATTCACAGATGTTTGCTTTAAACAGTATTAGTTTTTGAGTCCTTTTTAGCTTTGTGATGATACAAATTTCCACATTTACTGTTTGTGTGGCCTGCATTTAAAAATATATTGGACGTTTTTTCCTCCATGTGTGGCCTGCAGTTTAGCAACACCAGGAAAGATTGTTGTACTGTTGTAAGGGTTTATCTTACACTTCTTATAACAAGGTTATAAGAGTAATTTAATTAGTAAGGGATCTCTTTTTATTTTGGGTAAACATTCATTCAGTGCAAAAATGAATGGACACAAAAAGTGACTCAGTCAGTGAATGTTGATTTGAACCATAATATGTGATCATTTATTTACAGTTCATACAAAATCACCAGAGTACACCTGATTGTGAACAATTAATTTCCTATAAAAGTTTTGGGACCAACAATAACAAGCTTTTAACTTCTTAACTGTTAACCACACTTAAATAGAAACACAAAAGTCAGCTTTGATGTTTGATACCAGACAATCTGAGGCTGTTTATCTTAGGAGTTGGCAAGGAAGAGTTTAAGAAAAAAGGGTGGAAGAACGATATTAGCGTTCTTATACTTTTTATCTTAAATAATGTGGTTTAACCAGAAGGGCGAAGTGTTCTGTGCTCAGCTTCAGTCAGACAGCGACGTCACACACAGTCAGCCTTGAGATGATGTTCTGTCACCTGCCAGGTGTGTTGGGGGCTTCTGCTGAGAGAATCCGCTTAGGACAGTCCACCAGAGTGACCCAGGCGTGTAGGTCTACTCGCTTTACCACGTCAGCCATAGAAGAGGACAAACCTCGACTGGAACCCAGGTTTCAGAATAAAACTTCTGTCTGGAGAGTTTCTGAAGGTGGATAAACCAGGCGTGGTTTTCCACACTGTGAGGTTTCCCCGTTGGCGTGAAGGGGCCAAACCTGACACAGTTTTCAGCTTTTTGATTCCCCGGAGAGGATCTAGCTGTCACAGTGACTGACGGCCGTCAGTCACCTTACTTTCTCTGGACGGGCAGGAACTGTTAGTTCCTAAAAGCTTAGAGAATCTATGGTCCGCCCTCCAGAAGGTTAGATTAGTAAAGTTATCAAGGAAAGTGTTAGTTTCAGAACATGTACGCCTCCTGAAACTAAAACAAAGATTACTGCTGCTGCTGTGTGGTTCAGAACAACACATTTCATGACCCATTTAAATTATCTGATGAGTACTGTTTAAAACATAACTGAAAGAAAAATGAATTGTTTCAAGTTCAAAACATTTGTAAATATGATTCAGACAAGTAAAACATTGATATTTCATCAACTTAAACCATAAAGATTATTTTCATCAACTTAAACTATAAAGATTATTTTAGTTAAATAAGAATTTTTCCCACAGAAAAACCATACATAGCTGAAATCATACTGAGGGAGAAAAGAGATCTGTCCTCTCTTCTCCTGTAACTTTGATAAACATTCTCTGATTATCAAAATGTGTAATACTTTCAGTTAAGAGAACGCTAAATCAAATAAGAGAAGATTCTTCTGTTTATTATCTGATTCAGGAGGAAAGAGAATGTCTCTTTGAGAGGTTAAGGTGATCTGGGTGGCCTAGATTCAGTTCTAAGTGGAACAGAGTTTTTGGCCCTTCGAAGGCCCATCAGAGGACTGAGAGTCCAGGACAGTCTCCTTGATAATTTAACTCAAGGTGACCCCTACACTGTAAACAACCAGATGGACATCAACAGGACACTACTGAGAGGGTGTGTGATATGTAACAAAGGGCAGCAGCCGTCAGTAACTATGTTTGAAACCTGCTTTAAGTTTTGTTAACAGAGCATTCAGCTTTCAGCCTCACAGGAAGTTGTTTCTGTCCTCAGCACTTCCTGCCACGGTGGAAATGTGAGCAGCTGATTCGTCAGGGCGTCCTAGAGCACGTGGTGTCCTGATGGGAGGCCGGACTTCTGCACACCTCAGCAGTCATAATGTTTAATGTCTGGACAAATAAAGTTTTCTTACTCTACGTTGTCATTTTGTCTGTTAATCAGCAGAGAATCATGATCTGATGCGTCTCAGTAATCCACGTAGAAATGTCAAAATGAAAAATTAAGTAGGTTCTCCTCCTATAATGTTATTGCAAGTATGACTCCGCCCCCTGTGAGCAAAAGGTGTGAATCAGGACCCTAACGATAGTCAGGTGATGGAGCACATGACCCTGTATGAACAATAATAAAGGCACTAATGACCTATTGTTAGTCAATGGTCCTCTTTTGCATGTGACTAACCTGTTTGTCCACCATGTGGAGGCGGAGCTTATAAGGCTGAGTTCACCTGAAACTCATCAGACTGAAGAAGTCTCTTGGAGGAGAGACGAAACGTTTCATTAAAGAAGAACCCGTCCAGAGGACTTAATTATTTATTTTTGATTAATGTGAACTTATTGATCAAACTGAAACTCTGCAGTGTAAAAATACTGAACAATATCATAAAAAACATCACAACCAGTTGATAAAAAAATTTAATGAGACTTAGGTCCACAAAAACACTTATAAATGACATTAAAATGTAATACTGACATCTTTAAGAGCCATGAACAACCTGTAGAAATGAAGAGGCCACGCCCACCAGCTGCTGTCTGATGGACGTTTCACAGTTCATTTAATGTAACAGTCCATGGGTTAGGACAGGTCCCCATTCACCTTACACTGACCTTTGGTATTCTCATGTACCCTAAGGTCTACTTCTTTTAGAAAAGGCACGTTAACAGAAAAAAGAGGGTAAATTAAGTCTGTGAAATCAGTGTGTGTGTTTAATACAGCTTTATGTTGAATGACATGTGCCAAACCCTCCAGATTAAAGGTCTTGGTTTAAAATCACTGTCCAACCAAGAGGGACTGAGCTAGTCCTGTAATGTTTCTGATCGTCCCTTACCTCACAGAGTCGGCCCTGTCTTTGAGCTGATGCATAATAAAGTAGAAGAGTTGAGTCAGGACTGCACACAAACACCAGCCTGAACACTCTCCTTATCTTACTGTCGAATCACAGGAGTGTGTTTCCTCTGAAGAACGAAGGCAGGGTGTTTCCATGCAGGACATGGTGAGGTCTCTACTGTTAGGATGCTAAGGAGGATGTACGGTGACCCACCCTAACCCATGGACTGTAAAACTTTAAAGGAAAAGTCTCAAGATTAAAAAAGATACATATGAGGTGAAGTTCTGACCTCAGACGACTTGAAATAAGTAAAAAAAAAAAAACAGTTAAAACTCAATCAGACAGAAAATGTGCTCCTGAGAAGTTAAAATCTTTATAAAAACATCCTGGGTTCTCATTTTCTCTGATTTGACCTTTATTTACCTCTGATGTAAGATGAGTTAGTTTTCCTTCACTGCAGTGTTTGAGCTGGTCCAATCAGACCTGCTGAAGCTGCTCCTCACAACCTGACCTCCACCACACCAGAAACCAGCTCACTTCCTACAGTAACCTGTCATCTGTTTAAGTGGGCTGAGGGTTTCTTTTGGTTTTACTCAAAATAAAAACGAGCTATAGTTCATCAGAAGGATTTAAGCTTCATAATCTGACAGAAACTCATCTTGTTTGAGATGCAGTTTTTTTATTAACTCAGGAAGCGTTTTAACCATCATAAGTGTAGATATGAGATAAATTTATTTACTGATTATCTGATCAGATAATTATTCTAAAATCTTTTGAATTTTCTTGGTATTTTTAATACTCTGAATCCGTTTTGGCAGCAGGTTCTGTGGAAGGAAAAATGTTTTTATCTTGATTTATGTGAACAGATTCAAGTCGTCTGTAACAGTTTGTGCTTCCTGAAACCATCTAAGATCTACTTAGAACACTGGATTTCTTTATTAAAAATACAACTGTATTAAAACAAGTTTTAAAGCTGATTCAGTCCAACTGTCAGTTTCATCTGAAGATCATCTGTAAGCTCAGTTTGTAGAAGATCACCCTCCTCCCACCCGGTTCCCAGCAGCTCATGGTTTTAGTTTTTTGACACCTGTGTAATAATCTTAATAAATATCTGATAATTCTTGGACTTGCATCATCAGCAGGCTGCTGCTCTTCATCCTCAGACCTCAGCCCAGCTGTGAGGTCACGTGAGGTCACGTGGCGAGTGCGGCAGCGACAGCTTCACGCAGCAGTTTGTTGAGCGCTCCAACCTTCTCCTCCAACAGGAAGTTCTTCCTCTCAGCCTGTTTCTGGCGCTGCTCGGTGACCTGCAGCGCCTTCATCAGCTGTGAGTTCTCCACGTAGACCTCCTTCAGCATCCCAGCCACCTTGTTGTTCTTCAGCAGCTGCAGGGAGACATGATGTTACCCTCAGGCAGAGCTGCAGGTAGCCCAGCCTGGAGCTGAAACTCACCTGCTCCTGAAGCTGCTGGATCTTCTCCTGCAGAACCAGACGCAGACCCTTCAACTGGACCTCCAGCTCTTCGACTCGGCGCTGCAGCGCTGCCGTTGCCTTCTCAAACTGTTCCTGAATGCAGCACAGAGGAAGCCATCAGCATCAGGTCCTGCAGGACTCAGACAGGTGGGCTGTCCCTGACCCACCTGCTTCACGCTGATCTGAGAACTGCTCTGCTGAACCTGCAGCTTCAGGGCCTCCTCCAGCTGCTGACTCCTCCTGGTCTGCTCCTGCAGCTGAGCCTGCAGCACCTCTACCTGCTCCCTGCTCCCCGCCTGCTGCTGCACCTGTCGCAGGTGCTGTGCCTTCGCCACACTGAGGGCAGCGTCCGCTCGTACCACCTGTACACGCACATATGAAGACTTGTTTTCAGACAGCAAATCAATACTCAACCTGCAAATGACATGCAGCCAACCAGCTGAGCTTTTATCATCCTCTTAGTAGTTTGAATTGTAACCAACTTCCAGCTAACCACGTCTGAGAATCATAAAGAACTAAATGAGGTCAACAGTTTATCAACCAAATCTGTACATTCTCCAAATGTTTACATTTTAGAAACAAATGTAATTCCTGTAACACAGTTTGTAAATCTAGTAAAAATAGTAGCCCCATGGGTCACCATCTGTGGGAGGGGCCGAAGGGGTCGGGTGCAATGTGTGCTGGGCAGTGGTCGAAGGCGAGGACCTTGGTGGTCCGATCCTCAGCTACAGACGCTGGCTCTAGGGACGTGGAATGTCACCTCTCTGGTGGGGAAGGAGCCTGAGCTGGTGTGTGAGGTTGAGAGGTTCAGACTAGATATAGTTGGACTCACCTCGATGCACCGCTCTGGCTCTGGAACCAGTCTCCTCGAGAGGGGTTGGACACTCTTCCACTCTGGAGTTGCCCATGCTGAGAGGCACTGAGCAGGAGTGGGTATACTTATTGCCCCCCATCTTGGTGCCTGTACGTCGGGGTTCACCCCGGTGAATGAAAGGGTAGCCTCCCTCCACCTACGAGTGGGGGGACGGGTCCTGACTGTTGTTTGTGCCTATGAGCCTAACAGCAGTTCAGATTACCCACCCTTTCTGGCGTCCTTGGAGGGGGTGCTGGAGAGCGCTCCTAACAGGGACTCCCTCGATCTGCTGGGGGACTTCAACGCTTATGTGGGTAGTGACAGTGAGACCTGGAGAAGCGTGGTTGGGAGGAACCCCCCCCCCCCGATCTGAACCCAAGTGGTGTTTTGTTATTGGACTTCTGTGCTCGTCATGGATTGTCCATAACAAACACCATGTTCAGACATAAGGGTGTCCATATGTGCTCTTGGCACCAGGACACCCTAGGCTGCAGTTCAATGATCGACTTTGTTGTTGTTTCATCTGGTCTGCGGCCGCACATGTTTTGGACACTCGGGTGAAGAGAGGGGCGGAGCTGTCACCTGACCACTACCTGGTGGTGAGTTGGCTCCGTTGGTGGGGGAGGATGCCAGTCAGACCTGGCGGACCCAAACGTATAGCGAGGGTCTGCTGGAAACGTCTGTCAGAGTCTCCCGTCAGACTGAGCTTCAACTCATACCTCTGGGGGAACTTTGAACACGTTCAGGGGGAGGTGGGGGACATTGAGTCCGAGTGGGCCATGTTCCGTGCCTCCATTGTCAAGGTGGCTTACCTGAGCTGTGGCCATAAGGTTGGTGGTGTCTGTCGTGACGGCAAACCTCAAACCCGCTGGTGAACACGGCAGTGAGGGATGCTGTCAGACTGAAGGAGGAGTCCTATCAGGTCTTTTTCGCCTGTGGGACTCCGGAAGCAGCCAATAGGTATCGGCAGTCTGAGCGGATTGCGGTTCGGGTGGTCGCTGAGGTAAAATCTTGGGCGTGGGAGGAGTTCAGAGAGGCCATGGAAAAAAACTTCCGTACAGCCAGTGTCTCAAGGGGGGAAAGCGGTTCGCCACCAACACTATTTATGGTGGGGATGGTGCACTGCTGACCTCAACTTAGGACGTTGTGGGTCGGTGGGCGGAATACTTCGTGGACCTTCTCCATCCCACCGACAAGTCTTCGCATGAGGAAGCAGAGCCTGAGGACCCTGGGTCGGACTCTCCAATCTCTGGTGCTGAGGTCACCGAGGTGGTTAAAAAGCTCCTCACTGGCTGGGCAGTGGGGGTGGATGAGATTCGCCCAGAGTTCCTTAAGGCTCTGGATGTTGTGGGGTTGCGTTGATTGATGCAACTCTACAATATCGCGTGGACGTCGGGAGCAGTTCCCCTGGATTGGCAGACCAGGATGGTGGTCCCCCTATTTAAAAAGGGGGGATCGCAGAGTGTGTTCCAACTAAAGGGGAATCACACTTCTAAGCTGCCCTGGTAAGGTCTATTCAGGGCTCCTGGAGAGGAGGGTCCATCAGATAATTGAATCTCGGATTCAGGAAGAGCAGTGTGGTTTTGGTCCTGGTCGTGGAACACTGGACCAGCTCTACACCCTCAGCAGGGTCTTGGAGGGTTCATGGGAGTTCATCCAGTCTACATGTGTTTTGTTGACTTGGAGAAGGCGTTCGACTGTGTCCCTCTGGGACTCCTGTGGGGGGTATTCCAGGAGTATGGGGTACCAGTCCCATTGATACGGGCTGTTAGGTCCCTGTACGACCAGTGCCAGAGTTTGGTCCGCATTGCCGGTATTAAGTCGGACTTGTTTCCGGTGAGAGTTGGACTCCACCAAGGTTGTCCTTTGTCACCGTTTCTGTTCATAACTTTTATGGACAGAATTTCTAGGAGCAGCCAAGGTGTTGAGGGGATCCTTTTTGGTGACCTTAGGATCACATCTCTGCTTTTTGTGGATGATGTGGTCCTGTTGGCTTCATCAGATCCTGATCTGCAGCTCTCACTGGAGCGGTTCACAGCTGAGTGTGAAGCAGCCAGGATGAGGATCAGTACCTCCAAATCCCAGACCATGGTCTTGAGCCGGAAAAGTGTAGGGTGCCTTCTCCCGGTCGGGGAGGAGGTCCTGCCCCAAGGGGAGGAGTTTAAGTATCTCGGGGTCTTGTTCACGAATGAGGGAAGAATGGAGCGAGAGATTGACAGGTGGATGGGTGCTGCGTCTGCAGTGATGCGGGCGTTGTACCGGTCTGTCGTGGTGAATAGAGCTGAGCCAGAAGGTGAAGCTCTCAGTTTACCAGTCGGTCTACGTTCCTACCCTCATCTATGGTCAGGAGCTTTGGGTAGTGACTGAAAGAAGGAGATCACAGATCCAAGCAGCTGAAATGAGTTTCCTCCGCAGGGTGGCTGGGCTCTCCCTTAGAGATAGGCTGAGAAGCTCAGTCATCCAGGAGGGACTCAGAGTAGAGCCGCTGCTCCTCCACGTCCAGAGGAGCCAGTTGAGGTGGTTCATCTGGTTAGGATGCCTCCTGGACTCCTCCCTGGTGAGGTGTTCTGGACACGTCCCACTGGGAGGAGGCCCCGAGGAAGACCCAGGACACGCTGGAGGGACTATGTTTCTCAGCTGGGAACACCTTGGGATTCCCCCAGAGGAGCTGGTCCAAGTGTCTGGAGAGAGGGAAGTCTGGGTCTCTGCTGAGGCTGCTGCCCCCGAGACCTGACCCCTTTTTTAGATTTCTGTATAAAGTTCATGTCTGTTAATATTTCAGCCAGACCCTGTAAATGCCTCAGTCTGTTCCTGGTTGGACAGTGACGATCAGGTGTTTTTATTTTTTATGACTCACTGTTTCACTAAAACTGATTTAAATGAGCTTTCTACTGATGTGAAGGTAACTCGTCTTCCTGTTTGATCTCTTTTCAACCTGATTCCTCATCAGTCATGATTTTCATCCAGATCCTGACCTGGTCCTGAGTCTGGGTCCAGGCTGCCTCCACCTCATTCAGTCTGGACTTCAGGTCCTGCTGCTTCTGGGTCAGTTTCTGGACCTGAACATCCTGGTGCTGCAGCTCAGACAGCTGACACAGACAATGGACCAGTCAGTTTTTTAAACAACAATAAAAGGCTGCACAGCACAGAACAACACAAAGAGCAACACAACTGAGCTTCTATAGACCCTAATCAAGTCCACATGGACCCCAAAGTGCTTCAGACATCCACTCACTGATGGTGGTGAGCTCCGGCCACAACTGCTCTGGGGCACACTGACAGAGGCAGGCACCACTGAAATGGCTGGAACAGGGGATTGAACCGGCAACCCACCGGTTCCAGGACAACTCTACTGACCACTACACCACAGCTGAACTCTGTCACATGTGGATCTGGGACAGAGTTCTGAACTCTGAGCAGGTCTGACATGGAAACAGCAAGCATTTTGAACAAAAGAGTGACCTAAATCCTGATTTTATTGACCAGAATTGACTAAATTGTTTTTTTCCCTCAATTGAAACCTAGAAAATTGCAGAATTTCTTTCAATAAGGGAAACCTGCAAAACCCTCTTAAACCAAACGTGTCGGCGCCGACACATTTTGACACAGTTTTTTTAAATGCCGTAAGTTCTCGAATATCTGTGCAATCTGAAAAATTCCAACAGTGCCTGAAAGCCAGCGACCTGGGCTTTTTGCTGATATATGGGGTTTTACGGTAAAATCACGTGACTAGCTGGAGCAGGCCTGGAGTTTGGGGGAACGGGGAAAAAATGCCGTGTATGGTTTTCATTTTTGGACAGTTTTTTCATTTATTTACAAAAAAAATCAAAAAGTTTCAGTGCAGGTAGTTTATATACTGTCTAAATTTCACTTATTTGATGTCAAATCGTTTCGTTAGGTACATTTGTTGTGATTTATTTCCTTAGTAAACCTAAAGAAACTTTGTTTTTTGGTTTTTAAAGCTGATAATACACTATTTTAATATGCAATACATTTTAAATAACTGCCAGATAATGCAAAAATTTACTTTTTATTGAAAAAGGTGCAAAATTATTTACTCACAGGACAATTATTGTCCTTTTTACAGGTAAACTAATCCAAAAATACCAGGAGGAAAATATGAGCCTTTTTGACCCTTAGGTGTTAAAGGGTTAAACTTCTGGATCTAGATGAATTTACACATCTGTTTCCAGCAATAAATCTGACTGCTTTATTTGTTTCATTAAAGTAATTAATGCTTAGTTTGTTGTTGAGCAGGTAAAGGAATAATAGTTTTGGACCTCAGGTCCTTCTGACTTTATGATTTTGTGCCATGTGACTAAATGTTTGGCCAGCCCTGCTCTACGCTGTCCTGTGTGGTCCTGGCTGATGGAGCTCTACGCTGTCCTGTGTGGTCCTACTGATGGAGCTCTAAGCTGTCCTGTGTGGTCCTGGCTGATGGAGCTCTACGCTGTCCTGTGTGGTCCTACTGATGGAGCTCTAAGCTGTCCTGTGTGGTCCTACTGATGGAGCTCTAAGCTGTCCTGTGTGGTCCTACTGATGAAGCTCTAAGCTGTCCTGTGTGGTCCTACTGATGAAGCTCTAAGCTGTCCTCTTCAGACCTGCTGATGCAGTCCCACCCTCTCAGCTGCCCTCTGAGCTACCTGCTGTTGAAGCTCCTGGTTCTGGACTCTCAGTCTGCTGCTCTCCTCCTCCTCCTTCCTCAGCCTGAGGACGTCAGCCTGCAGCCGCTCCACCTGCAGAGCTCTGATGGTCACAACCTCCACCATGTCAGGAAGAGCAGGAAGCAACCAGCTGCAGGTGAGCTCACCTTACTGTCGGCCTCCCGCAGCTTCCTGCACAGCTCCGTCACTTCCTGGGTGTGGCCCAGTTTCTCCTGAGTGACGGTGAGGATCTGGGAGCGAAGAAGCTCCGCCTCTCCCTGCAGAGAGAGGACCTTGTGCTGCAGCTCCTCCTCCTGACAGAAAGATGTTTAAATCACACGTAAAACAGTGAAGTATAACAGACAGATGAACCCAGTTTATCACCAGGATATTTAAAAACAAATCTAGTTTTATTCAACAGGTTGATCAGATTTGAACCTGATGAAGCAGCTCGTTTCAGTCTGACCTGGTGGTTTCGCTCCTCAGCATGTCTCTGCAGAAGCTTCCTCTCCTCCTCCACTACCTGCAGTTTTTCCTTCACACCACTAAGCTCCGCCTCCAGCTGTGATTGACGGCCCAGCTTAGAAACAAACAATCATCAGTCATCAGTCAGCTGGAGACCTCCTGTTTCAGATGAACTGGTTGAATCTTCACCTTGTCTTTAATGAAGCTCAGCTCTTTCTCCAGCATCAGTTTGTCCTGCAGCGCTGCCTCCTGCAGCCGCCGGCCCTGAGAAAACAACAACAACAACAACAACAGACACTCCGTCAGCTCCCAGCTTCACCTCTGAACTGCTAAAACAAGCAGCTCAGCTTACAGCAGCTCTGTCCTCCTCCTGATCCCTGGAAACCACCTCCAGGCGCTGCTGCAGGATCCGGACCGACTCCTGCTCCTCACAGAGCCGAGAGCTGAGCTGCAGGTTCCTGCTACTCAGATCCAAAACCTCCTCACGATATTTAGAGTTCTACAAAACCAAAACAAAAAGCTCTGTCAATATTTACTGAAAAATAAAAGGTCAATAAACTAATTATCCTTATAGGAATACTGCGGTTCTTTTCCAAATTATGTTTCATGAAGCATTTCCAACATACATATCATAAAGAAAGAAGACTTTAGAGACACATCATTAGCGTTCATTTCTTATGCCTTATTAACAACTTTTCAGTTCTAATTCATTCATTTTTAATTCATTAATTTTATTCATTTAATTAAAAAATGATAAAAAATAAAAAAGAAATGACTAATAAAATAAAATGAAAGGCAGGAGAAAGAAGAAGAAAAAACTTAAATCTGTGCCTTTTCTCCATCAAATAAATTCAAACAATAATAATCTTTACGTAACAAAATAAGAAAGTAAAATAAAAAAGTAATAATCAAATCTTTCTCGAACAAATAATCCATTCTAGGCAGGTCCTTTTTACACTGTTTGAAAAGGAGCAGGTAAAAGATACAAGATCCTTTGATTTCCTGCCCTTCTCAACTCATAACCTACAAACATTTAAATGTCCTCACACCAGATAAAATCAAATTATTCCCACATTAATGACACTTAAATCTGACATTCTCATCCTTACATGTACAATTATTTATACATTTTTAATATAAATAATAGAGACACCCATCCTACACAACTTATTTCAAAATAAGTCTGTCTGTCAGTTCTCTTCCTCTTATCCGGGGTCAGGTCTCGGGGGCAGCAGTCTAAGCAGAGACCCAGACTTCCCTCTCTCCAGACACTTGGACCAGCTCCTCTGGGGGAATCCCAAGGTGTTCCCAGACCAGCTGAGAAACATAGTCCCTCCAGCGTGTCCTGGGTCTTCCTCTGGGTCTCCTCCCAGTGGGACGTGTCCAGAACACCTCACCAGGGAGGAGTCCAGGAGGCATCCTAACCAGATGAACCACCTCAACTGGCTCCTCTGGACGTGGAGGAGCAGCGGCTCTACTCTGAGTCCCTCCTGGATGACTGAGCTTCTCAGCCTATCTCTAAGGGAGAGCCCAGACACCCTGCAGAAGAAACTCATTTCAGCTGCTTGTATCTGTGATCTCCTTCTTTCAGTCACTACCCAAAGCTCCTGACCATAGCTGAGGGTAGGAACGTAGACCGACGGTAAACCAAAAACTTCACCTTCTGACTCAGCTCTCTTCACCAAGACAGACTCGTACAGCACCAATCCACCTGCTGATCTCCCGCTCCATTCTTCTCTCATTCGTGAACAAGATCCTGAGATATTTAAACTCCTCCACTTGGGGCAGGACCTCCTCCCTGACCTGGAGAAGGCACCCTACCCTTTTCCGGCTCAAGATCATGGTCTGGGATTTGGAGGCACTGATCCTCATCCTGGCTGCTTCACACTCAGCTGTGAACCACTCCAGTGAGAGCTGGAGATCTGGATCTGATGAAGCCAACAGGACCACATCATCCACAAAAAGCAGAGACGTGATCCTAAGGTCACCAAAAAGGATCCCCTCAACACCTTGGCTGCTCCTAGAAATTCTGTCCATAAAAGTTATGAGCAGAATCAGTGACAAAGGGCAACCTTGGTGGAGTCCAACTCTCACTGGAAACGAGTCCGACTTACTACCAGCAATGTGGACCAAATTCTGGCACCGGTCGTACAGGGACCTAACAGCCCGTATAGTTGGAACACACTCTGCGGTCCCCCTTTTTAAATAGGGGGACCACCACCCCGGTCTGCCAATCCAGGGGAACTGTCCCCGACGTCCACGCGATATTGTAGAGTCGCATCAACCAACGCAACCCCACAACATCAAGAGCCTTAAGGAACTCTGGGCGAATCTCATCCACCCCCGGTGCCCTGCCACCGAGGAGCTTTTTAACCACCTCGGTGACCTCAGCACAAGAGATTGCAGAGTCCGACCCAGGGTCCCTAGGCTCTGCTTCCTCATGGGAAGACGTGTCGGTGGGATTGAGGAGGTTTTTGAAGTATTCCGCCCACCGGCCCACAACGTCCCGAGTTGAGGTCAGCAGCGCACCATCCCCACCATAAACAGTGTTGGTGGTGAACCTCTTTCCCCACCTCAAGACGCAGGATAGTGGACCAGAATTGCCTCAAAGCCGAACGGACGTCTTTTTCCATGGCCTCTCTGAACTCCTCCCATGCCTGAGTTTTTGCCTCAGCGACCACCCGAACCGCAATCCGCTTGGACTGCCGATACCTATCGGCTGCTTCCGGAGTCCCACAGGCCAAAAAGACTTGATAGGACTCCTTCTTCAGTCTGACAGCATCCCTGACTGCCGGTGCCCACCAGTGGGTTTGAGGGTTGCCGCCACAACAGGCACCAACAACCTTACAGCCACAGCTCAGGTAAGCTGCCTCGACATTGGAGGCACGGAAGATGGCCCAATGTCTTCCACCTCCCCCGGAATGTGTTCGAAGTTCCCCCAGAGGTGTGAGTTGAAGCTCAGTCTGATGGGAGACTCTGACAGACGTTCCCAGCAGACCCTCGCTATACGTTTGGGTCCGCCAGGTCTGACCGGCATCCTCCCCCACCAACGCAGCCAACTCACCACCAGGTAGTGGTCAGGTGACAGCTCCGCCCCTCTCTTCACCCGAGTGTCCAAAACATGCGGCCACAGATCAGATGAGACGACAACAAAGTCGATCATTGAACTGCGGCCTAGGGTGTCCTGGTGCCAAGAGCACATACGGACACCCTTATGTCTGAACATGGTGTTCACGAGGGAGTCCCCGCTAGGAGCGCTCTCCAGCACCCCCTCCAAGGACTCCAGAAAGGGTGGTAATCTGAACTGCCGTTAGGCTCATAGGCACAAACAGTCAGGACCCCCCCCCCCCCCAGGCGGAGGGACGCTACCCTTTCATTCACCGGGGTGAACCCCAACGTACAGGCACCAAGATGGGGGGCAATAATATGCCCACTCCTGCTCAGCACCTCTCATCATGGGCAACTCCAGAGTGGAAGAGTGTCCAACCCCTCTGGAGGAGAATGGTTCAAGAGCCAGAGCGGTGTGTTGAGGTGAGTCCAACTATATCTAGTCAGAACCTCTCAGCCTCACACACCAGCTCAGGCTCCTTCCCCACCAGAGAGGTGATGTTCCACGTCCCTAGAACCAGCTTCTGTAGCCGAGGATCGGACCGCCAAGGTCCTCGCCTTCGACTACTGCCTAACACACATTGTACCCGACCCCTACTTCCTAGTAAGGTCCTTTTAAAACTTTTTTAAAGCTGGTTTATGTTTGTACTTTTTTTGAGCTCATCATTAATCCACTCCATAAATCAACTCCTGATCAGACACTGATAAACAAAATCTCTGAACTGAAACAACTCAAAGCTTTTGTTGGATGTTCTGTGGATTCTAACTGAAACCATGTGAGAAGTGTTGGTGTCTGAACAGACTCGTGGCTTTGTCTCCCTGCAGCAGGAGTTTGGACCTTCTCACCTCCTTGTGCAGCCTCTCCTCCTCCTCTCTGCTCCTCTCATGTTCTCTGTCCATCTCCTCCAGTCTCATCCTGACAGAAAACAACCAAAATCACGTTTCATCAACAACCAGGCTAATAAACATGTATTTAAGGCAGTGCCCTGTGGGCCGCAGATAGTGAGGAGCTTTCATGAAGGGCTTTTTAATTGCTTTGCTCTCGTGTCACAGGATTTGGTTTGAAAAACAAAAAAAAAAAGTATTTTCTCTCAAAATAGTCAAAACTTGTGTAAAGCATCTGAAGCCTTTAACAGTTTAGTTCCTCTGTTTCTTCACACTGGAGCAACATTTAGGTGAAATAAAACTCTCCAGCCAGGCTATATGCTAATGGTTAGCCAAACAAGGGTCTGATTTTTAATTTTATATCTTTTTCTGGCTTATAAAACTTTGTCAAAAACAACATACTGGTGTGACAGGATGCTACCAAATATCTATGCTTTTGAATGACGGCTTTTGTTCTCTAATAACTTTCTCAAACTTAACAGTGACAAAACCAAAATCTTTTTTTGTTGGCACCAAACATTTCCCAAAACAATGTTTCCATTGACAGGTTTGTCCCTGTGGTCAGGTTCAGATTGTGGGTATCATTGTTGACAGCCCTCTATCCTTCCACTCTCATGTCAATAATGTCACTCACTCAGCTTACTTCCACCAAGAAACATCTCGTATCAAATATCTCTTCAGCTACTAGATCCTGCTTCTTTCATTGAACTCCATTAACAACCTTGCTGCTCTGTGTGTTTTCTCACTTCTCCATGTTTACTCCATGCACTTTTAATCTTAGAAACTCCTCTTCCTCCTGACTCACTGATCCATCTGCTCACCTGACAGCCTTCAGCCGCTCAGAACCCGTCTTTAGAATTCTGCTGCTAAATTCTGTCTCTATGAGCACCTTCAAACCTCAGATTATAACCTCAGATTATAATGCATTTTCTCAGGAAACCATATTTATAAGAATCATAAATCTTTGTAACTGCCATCACTCGCCCACGTCAAGTTGGTTTTATTGTTGTTGCTTATTTCTTTGAACTATTTTGTTGAGTTAAATGATTTGATTGTTTGTATTGTGTGAACTGTTCTGTTTTAATTTCTTACTTTTGAGCTCTTTAAGGTGATGTTGAGAGTTTTGAAAGGTTCCTATAAATAAATGCATCATTATCATTGTTTGCCAAAGGTTTCCTGACCAAACATCATCTGTGTTACTACACTAATGTATGTGTGCATGTATCAACGCGCTGCTTGGAGGGACAGAAATATACTTCTTCAAAAGGATGGAGGTTTCACATCAGTGTAACGTTTTTGACCAGGAGTTGTTTTACAATCCTGAATTTTTTTTTTAAAAAAACAACAAGAAGCAGGCCCTCATTTGGTTAGCCATTAGCCTAGCATGGATGATGACATTTGCCACTTTGTCTATTCTCTGTGCTCTCTGGTTAATGCCATGGCAGATAGGTAATAAGTACTGGAACTACAGAACACCACAGCGAAGGTGACTGGACTTTCACTTTAAAGCTTCACATTCCTGTCTTGGTGTTAAACAGAGACACCCAACCTGCACGCTGAAGCTGAGCAGCATTTACTCACTTTTTCTTGACAACATCATCTTCCAGGTTCTGGATGTCTTGCTGCAGAACCCTCAGTCTCTCCTGCAGAGCTCCATTCTCTGATCGGACCTCCTCCAGCTGAGTTCTGCAGTTTGACAAGCCCGACAGCAGTCAGAAAATGTGTCTGATATTTAAACATTTTGAACTTCTTCAAATCTTTCCACTGTGTTAAAAGCTGTAAGGCAGGCAGACTTGGAACAGCTGATTTCAGATGTGTGAGGCACGGCTTCATGCAATGTCACAGTCTTCATTCAGCTCATTGTAACAAAGACAGAAGTGCAGACATGTCTGATAAATGATCCTCCTGTGTGAATGATGTCAACAGACCATAGTAGAGTAGAGTAGAGTAGAGTAGAGTAGAGTAGAGTAGAGTAGAGTAGAGTAGAGTAGAAAAGCGTTTACTGTCCCACAGAGGGGAACTTCAGGTGTAACAGCAGCATCAGTACAGAGGTTCACGAACTATAGAGAGCACACAAAACAAAACTAGACACCGTACAGCGGTAACATAATGACCCTCGCACGCAGAAATGCACCAGAACTCAGAAGTCTTTATTCTTAATAAATGTCATGCTACTAGATGCATCCCAAAATTGTAGTGGTTTGGGTGGGGGTCTTTTATTTGGGCGGGGCACTGATTGGTGGGCCTGATGGATAGAGCTTCATCAGAGCTAAACAACAAAAGAAATCTGAAGCTTCTATGTTGAACAGTTTCTGAGTTATAAGCATTTTTACATGTCCTGACACCCCCTCTTTGAAAGGAGCCCCCTCCTCAAATATGGGGTCTATCAAAAAACCGTTGGCTGGTGCAGTGTAGGTCAGACTCATCTACAGTCCTGACTAATTTCATGTTGATCGGTGCAGCTGTTTTTGTGCTACGGTTGACCAAAAATCACTGAAAAAAAAAAAAGATAAACAGTACGAAAACGATATGACTCCCGCTTACGCTTCACGTGCGGGGGTCATAATTAACACTGACTAGCCATGATACGACTACTGATAATAAAACTACAGTATAAAGAACCGTGCAAGAATAGAAAAAGATATGTTTAGTTTTAGAGACAGTAGACTATCAGAATCTGACATTAGGAATGAGAAATTGCCTGTTTTCAGTGCAAACCAATCTCAACAGACCAATAACTGTAAAGTGAAGAATCACAGAAACACAGAGGTGTAATTACAGCAGAGTTTTTAAAGGTTTAAAATGGGTAATTATGTGATGGATTGAAATGTGTTCATTATTTGTCAGAGGTATATTTAATCATTCTGCTTTTATTTGTGTACAGTATAGCAAGCATTACAGACTTGAATGTCACTGTTTACATTACAATGTGTTTCTCAACTGTTCAGGGCAATTACAGGTTAATGTCTAAACAGATTTAGTAGCTGTAATAATCAAATGCAACCAGCAGGGGCAGTCAAGCACTAGTGAGCCATAGTAAAGAGCACCAGAACTTCCTCCTCAGTCAATACAAGCTGGAGTAGAGGAAAGAAAGTGTCTGTGGCTCATTTATTCAATTATTCCCCTTTTCAGGGCTTTTACATTTGGAGGCACCGCTGGGATTGCTGATTTTGAGGCTGGAATCCTACATCTGAGGAGAACACCCCACATCAACAATCCCATATCATAACCCAGGTAGTGGAAAGTGCATCAAGGTGACGTCTAACTAACTAAGAGGACTGTAGTCTGAGGTGCCGAGAAGCCACTGGGAAACATCTGTTCTGCAGTAACTGGCAAAACCCTATTCTTCAGCACACTTTACCACTAAAAAAAGGAGAGAGAAAGAGAAAAAAATGGACTCAGAAGTTGACAATTTACTGTTTGAGGTTAAAGGAGCCCTCTTCCAACTTACCAGTGACCAGCTGATAAAAGTATGTGATCTCCTGGCAATTTCAGGAGCAAACAAAGAAACCATTAAAGGCAAAACTCGTCATTGTTTCACTGATCAGCAAGTATATTGAAAGTGATGAACTAAGACAACTAGAAGATAAAGGAATGTCAGCAATGTTGAGTTTGATGGAAATGATCAAATCAGTGCAGGAAGTTGAAACGAGCAGCATACAGGAAAAGGAAAATGAGGAACAGGAGAACCGAAGCAGAGAACTAGAACAACTAAAACTCAAAGTTCAACAGAAAGAAACTGAAATGAAAATCCTGGCAAACAAAAATGAAAAGAACTGTGTTGGCCCAGGCTGGCCCTGCTCATGGAAACAGCCTCTCATGGAGAAAAGACTTTGAAATCTCTGGTCAAATTGGCGACCCTGGGCAAAAGGACAGACTAACATTTTCTAGCTTGGTTCGACAAATAGAGAATGGTCTCAGCAAAGATTACCCTGAATCAGAGATAGTGGATGCTGTAATTAGGGCAATAGTACCTGGCCTGCAGCTGTGAAGCTACTTAGAAAGAAAAAGTGACCTGTCCCTTCCCACTCTTAGGAGAATCCTTCGTTCACATTATCAAGAGAGAAGCGCTACTAAAAAGCTTACCACCGAAGTGCAGAGCAGCAGAGAGACGCCACAGAATTTTGTGATCAGAGCAATGGATTTGTGCCAAAAATATTGTTTGCTTCACAAGAGGCTGAGTCAGGTCTGAAATACAATCCTGCATTAGTGCAAAGCATGTTCATGCACACAGTTCTCACTGGCCTTCAAAGTGACAAAATAAAAACTGATCTTCAACCCCATTTGTCAAAACCAAGTACCTCAGATGAGCTGCTCCTCAAAGTTCTGAATATTGCCTGTGCTAATGATAAAGAAAGATAAGAAGAGAAACACAACACAGGTCCACTGGTCTGCATGCCGTTCAGTCCAGTGATAAAAGTAATGAAAGGAGACGGGG